CATAAGGAAAATTCTATGATGAAAACAACGATGGTTTGTAAGTTGCAAGAAAGGAGAGATCTTTCAATTTTAATGCTATGGTCCTTGCGTCGTGTTTTCAGATCCTATTAATTTATTTTAAACCGGTATCATCCCATTGGTAAACCACAGGGCTTCATGAGCCAGCAAACAAGCATATATATCTCAACGGAACCTAAACACACCCAAAACTAAAAGAGGCATCAAAGCATGCTAAAAGCAGCAGAGAAGAAGGAGTGCTGTTTTCAGATTCTTTGTAAAAGTGATGGTGCCATAGGGAACTGCTTTATTCGGAGTCATCCTATTGGTCCATCTAGCTTAGTAGTGTCAACACTGACTGGCAGTGGTTCTCCACGGTTTCAAACAGAGAGTATTCACAGCCCTACCTGAAATGCTGGGCTTGGAAATTGGGACATTCTGGGGGCAAGGACAATGCTTTATCACTGAACTATGGCTCTTACCCTGATGGCAAGTCAAGGGAAGGGTGTTCCAGAGCTTAGGCACCACAACCAAAAACTCCATTCTCTTCACTGATGTCCATCTCACTCCATTCTTTCTGAATAACCTCTTAATCTGGAAAACTCACATGTGTACACGACTCTCTGGGTACCTTCATTCTAAGCCTATTAGGACTTGTGCATATGCGGGTGATGTGTTAGTAAGTGTTTGTAGTGTTTTTTCAGAGGGTTGTACTAGCTAGATGAACCTTGGGATATCTTACAACTCTGCAAGCCTATGATTCTATGTACCTGATATTTCACCCAAGTTCATGGACTTCTTAACTGGAAGAGTCCCTCAAATGGAAGAAGATGCCTTCACCCTGGTATGCCCCCCCCTTATCACATACACAGCCCAACAAGACAACGACAAGAATCCACCAACAGCATACAGATCAATATGGCTAACCTGATTCAAAAACACCCACCCCACTCACACCTGAAAACAAAGTTCACCACAGCCAATCACAAACAAACAACCACACCCTAGGCCAACCCCAACATCTCTCACTATCAAAGGAACACAAGCGAATAGTAAAGAGAACCCGCACAAGCGACACTGACACAAAACCTCACACATTAAGTAAAATAGAAACATCGCCCCCTCCACCTCTTTCCCCCTTTTCTTCCTAATGTAACACTAATGTCTCAACAAATGAAACTGATCTGTAGAAAATGTAACTTGCAAAAAGAGACATTGCACATACTTTTGTGAACCAAGAAATCTTTAATAAAAATACATTTTTAAAAACACATTGGGAAGTCCCTTGCTACCAGAGTCTGTGGGGGTCCATGCATATAGAAAATAACCTATAGACTAGAACAGAGTGTCTCCAGAGAATATAGGAGGCCCTTCCTGTTCTAGGGTGCAGCCCAGGAGTTTGGGACCTCCTTATCAACCCAAGTGACCAGAGTGGTGATGCAAACAGAACGGTCTCCTCCTGCATCTTTAGTAGGAGCAAATAAGCTTTGTCTTTGTTAATCTTTGCTCCCTGAGCTGCTTACTGTAGGGTCCCTTAATAAGATTCAGAGCAACCTCTGGATTACCCAAATGGCTGTCTGAAAACTTCTGGCTAAGCCAGGTGACCACTTTGAGAACATCTAGGTCTCTCCCAGCCATTTTCAGAAAGAGGATCACATTCCCTCCCCCTACTCATATTTTGTTGAAGATGTAGTGTTTGTTTGTTATGCCCCTACACATCAAATTAGAAAAAGCACACAGATTTCTGTGATCTGCAATTGAAGGCAACACAAGAGAGAAAAATAAAAATTTCAGAAGCAGGGATGGGCGATTATAGAGAATTTATTGAGTGGCGTATTATTGTGGGATTAATTTTTTGGGGTGGGAGGGAGGCAAAGCTGTGACTGGAGGGCAGGAGAAACACCGGCTGTCCCCCCCCCTCTCAAGGCTTTGCTAACTTTTATGATATTTCTCCCTGCGCTCGCTCGCTCTCTCTCTCTCTCTCTCTCTCTCTCTCTCTCTCTCTCTCTCCTTTCTACTATCTGCCTTTGTGCCTTCAGGGGCAGTGAAAGAAGACTGCCGATTCTAGATTGCTTTCAGAGTTTGCTTTGCTGATGATGGATTACCATGTCAATTTAAACAGCATAGGATTAATTTGTTTCAATGATTTCTCTTTAGGCTGAATGCCAGCCTTTTTTCCCTTCTTGTTGTTGCTTTCTATCTCTCCCTTTGCTCTTCAGAATAAGAATAAGAAAAAAAAAATGCTGTCCACCACCAAATCCCTTTCAATGCCCCCCCTTCTAAAAAAAAGGACAATAATAGAAATGGACAAGTTAGGTGTAAAGTTGCAATACAGTCGCAGGTTTGAGTGTGTGTTTTTATCTCATTTGCAAAGGCTGAAGCCTCCTGTCAGTCACATTAAAATGAAATTGGATCTAACATTTATTCAATAAATACTTCTCTTGTAGGTAATCCAGAGCAGAGTGCTTTTGACACACAAGGACTTAATTTATCTCAGATAAGAAGTTATTAATATGGTACATTTAAACTTGCCACCTACAGTAAGGTCATTCAGATCTTTAATGTGATTCAGAAAAACGGGTTTGAGGGGAAGAAGGGGACCAAGTTTGAGATGGCATTCTGTGTGTCAGCAGTGGGAGGGAAACGCAATAGTTAGTGCCAGGGAAATAAGGTCCTATAGTGGGAAACACTGACCATCATTTCTGCTCAGCCTGAGTTCGTTGGAGAGTTCATTGCTTTTGAACCTGACTTTTCCATCTGCAAAGCAGGAATGATAGGAACATAAGGAGGTTGCCTTACACCCAGTCAGATCATTGGCCCACCTAGTTCAGTTCTGTCCACACTGACTGTCAGCATCTCTCCAGGGTTTCAGGCAGGGGACATTGCCTGGTCTTCCTGGAGATCCTTGGGGTTCAATTTGGGACCTTATGCATGTAAAGCACATGCTCTACCACTGAGCTATAGCCCTTCCTCAGGAAGTGAGGAGGCTGTATTATTTGCTGGTCAAACAGTTTGTCCAACTAGCTTGGTATTGTATGCTCCAGGTGTGAGGAACCTCTGATCCTCCAGATGTTTCTGAACTACAATTCCCATCAACATGGGCAACGGCCAGGGTTGATGGGAGTTGTAGTTCAGCTACATCTTGGCAGGCTAATCTTCCCACACACCAGAACCAGCTCTCCTTGAATCTCAAAATGAATCTTTTCCAGTCCTACCTGGAGATTTTAGACATCAGACCTGGGACCTTTTGGATGCAAAGCTCCTGTTCTGTCACTGAGCCACAGGCCTTTGCTGAATGTTGTTTCCACCCTACTCTGTATAAATGCCTGATCTGTATAAAATGTAGTGGGCGAATCTTCCAGCCTGCCAAGACATATATTGTATGTACCAGAAGGTTCTTATGGCAACCAGACAAGCTGCTTCAAAATCAACTCAATAGGTGCAACGTGGGCTTTTACACTTTTGTGTAACAATGCATTTATGTATAAAAATTTTCAGGCACCTCCATAGGCATGATGAGGTGGTTAAAACATCAGAAGCAGGAAAGCTAGCTTAAGTGATCTTAGACACGCATTGGAGGAGAGAAGCGTATCATTTGGAAGGGTGACAGTCAACTTCCCCCAACCCGGTGGCCTCCAGATGTTTGGACTACAACTCCCACCAGCCCCAGAGCTGTGTTTGTTGGGGCAGAGGAAAGCAGTATTCTAAAACATCTGGAAGGCACCAGGTTGGGGAAGAGTGGCTGAACTAAAGCCCATTCTTCTTATTTATTTGATCAATTAACAACGTCTCACATCGTATGATGTAGCCACCTTTATTAATTATTTAATTAAGTGTATTTATATCCCCCTTTCTCCCAAGTTGGTCTTCAAGGCAGCTTACATTTTTAAAAAAAATCATAATAAAATGCAAGGTTAGAAAAACAAACTAGTTAAAAGCAATAGTTAAAATACAGTACACTAAAACACATTTAAAACAAGCATTAAAGTACAGTTTGCCCTGACAGAAGGCAAATGGTCAGCTTTGTATTATGATCATTCTACCTTGCTGAAGCTAAGGTTTGCCTGGGTCATATCAGTACTTAGATAAGTGATTACCTAGGGACTCTCTTGTGTGGCACCTTGGGTTCTGTTGAAGAAAGGTGGGATAGGAACACAGGATCACGGGAAACGGCTTTATGCCAAATCAGACAATTGGTCAAACTAGCTCAGTGTTGTCAACATTGACTGGTAAAGGGTCTTCAGGGTTTCAGGCAAGGTTCTCTCCCAGACCTATCTGGAGATGCTGGGGATTGAACCTGGGACCTTCTGCCTGCAAAGCAGATGCTCTACCACTGAGCCATCTACTATCTTCTCTGTAGATTGAGAAGATGACTGGAGGGCAGGCTGGTTTCACGCAAGAAGTCATGGTCCCAAGTTGCTGAGGCCATTGTATGCTAACAACAAAACATATGAAGCAATATACCATATTGGATCATTGGTCCATCTAGCTTGGTATTGCCCACACTGGGTTGCAGCAGCTCTCCAGGGTTCCAGACAGGAATATTTCCAAGCCCTTTCTGGAGATGCTGGGGACTGAACATGACCTTCTACACAGTGTACATCTAGTTCCCAGAAGGTCACCCATCCAGGTTCTGACCAGATCCAGGCCTCCAGTAAGGTGACAACCTCCTGTGCCTCCAGACCATACTCTGGGACGTACCATTATTTCTGGGATTTATCATAAAATCTGCTTGTGATATCCTAGTAAGTTGATGTCACAGACAACAAATGGAGGAGGAACTTTCTGGTTCACCTCTCATCACCATGCAGTACAATCTCATGCATAATTACTTTTGGAAATAGATCTAACAGTTTCCTGGGGGGTTTACTTCTGAGTAAGTGTGTTCAGGACTGTGGTCTTGGCTACTTCATGATGTGAAGTCTTCTTGTTGATGAAGATAATCTACTTATATAAAACAAATAAGGATGCCAGTTAAAGTTACTTTTTCCCATTTATCCTAGGAATTCCTGAGGATGGTTCTAATGGAAAGTGCCACGTGACAGTGCCACATGTTTTCTAGAAAAAAGGAAGAAAGCAAGCACAAAGAACTGTTGACAGACTTGCCCAGGGGAGCATTTTCTCCACATGGTATAGAAATCTGCCCCGCCTTCATGTGCAGAAGGTAACGTTTGCATAGGTTACACATCTTTGTGTATGTGTGCATGTAGAGGAGAAAGACTGCATGAATCACATTTGTGGACCATAAAGGCATATGCAAAGAACACATGAGGCCCATGCAGATGTTCAGAATCCATGGTAATGAAGGCATGGGGAGAAGGGATTGTGCCTTTTGCGCAAGTTCCTGGTGAGCACGTATTTGTCCGAAAGCCTGACTGCTGCACTAAATGCACACAAGCTCTCTCTGAGCAACCAAGACCTTGCAGAAGGCAGTGCCCTCAGTTGCACATATAGTAAGACATTATGTGGATGCAGGGTGTGTCACCCCATTCACCTCACATGCATAAGAACCTAAGAAGAGTCTGCTGGACTAATCTAGTCCAGCCAATGACTAGTCTAGGTCCAGCATCCTGTTCTCACAGTGGCCTGTGGGAAATCAGCACGCAGGACCTGACTAGGTGATCTTGGGCTGGTCACTACCTCTCTGCTTAACCTACCTCATAGGGTTGTTGTACAGGTGAAAAATAAATGGGAGGGAAGAACCATGTACACTACTTTGAGCTCATTAAAGGAAATGTGGCATATAGCTGTGATTCACAAATAAAAGGAAAAGAGCCTTCAGCAATGAGACCACACATTGCTCATTGGTGTGATGGGTGTTTATGCAAGTGTCCCTAGTTTCTTAAGTAAAATCCCCATTGAGCACAGAGGGATTTATTTCAACATAAACATGCAGTGCATCAGGCTACCTAAGACCAGAAGAAGAGTTCTGCTGGATCAAGCCAAAGCCCATTTAGTCCAACACCCTACTCTCAAAGCGGCCAGTCAGAAGCCACAATGGGAAAGTCCACAAGCAGGACTGAGGGCAGCCCTCCCATGGTTCCCAACAACTGGTTTTCAGAGGCATACTGCCTCCAACACAGTAGGTAGAACTTAGCCTGGAGGCTAGTAACTATTGATAGCTTGAGTGGGAGAGGATATCAAAAGACAGATCAAGGGAAGGACCTTGGATCTGGATGAGGAAGAAAAGGAAAGAAGAGAAGAAAAGAAAAAGGAAGTCGTGGTGTACGTGGGGGGTGTCTTCTTCCAAAGTACTTGACCCACCCTGACAATTTTCCATGTCTAGTTTCCTCTGCTAACAAACTAACAAACTCCAAATGACCCCATTTAAATTCTGAGGGGTCTTTGGCAAAGCACACACAGCCATTTTGCGCCCATCTTGTTTGCCCACCACGAGGATCCCAGAGCATAATCCATCTTTAAATATTATGGGTCTAATTTGACTGAGCAATATTTGTTCGCGCGTTGGCAGCTAATGTAAGGAAAACAAAAAAGGGGGAATCCCGGGAGTTGTACAGTTGGGATCTGCGTGGCCGCATTAACCTCGAGTCGCTTCCTGTAGTGGAGTCGGAGCTTAGGACTCAAGTGGCGCTTGACAGATGTGTGTTAAAAATGGATAAACTAGGAAGGGAAGGTTTTGAATTCTCGACACTCATCTTAACCTTACGCTACTAGTAAATCACAGTGTTCCAGAGGCCTCGTTTCAGATATCGCCTTACAATATATTTTGCATCTTTCTCCTCCTGCCCTCCACCCACTAAAATGGAGCGTCATGATGAATGGACACAGCAGGGTTTGGTGCGCTGTCTCAGTGATCGCAACTGTACAGGTTAGTGGCTGAATTCCACAATTTAATTTCTCCCAGGTTTCCATTTTAGTCCTGTTTGAAACCAGAAAGAAAAGCCACCCCCACAAAACCAGCATTTTCCTCCCAGCACAGTGTATGAAGGGTGCAATTTCACATTTTAGGAGTTCTTATCAAATTTAAAAGGTGCTTTGGATGTAGTCAAAATTAAATGCCCTGAAAGCAGTATATTTTAATTCCCCTGCTTCATATTTCATCATAGGCATTCACTCCTTCTTGGTTGCAGTTCCTTACCTGAAGTGCTGGCCTACCTTACAGTGTTGCTGTTCATAAACAAAAACAAGAATAATCATGTAGAGCAGAATCTTGTGCATTTTTTACTTACATGCAAGTCTCATTGTGTCCAGTTGGGCTTACTCCCAGAAAGGTGTGCAGGTAACCCTAAGACTAGTGTTGCAAATTGCAGGGTGATGGCAATTTAAAACACTGCAGTTGTTTCAAAACTGCAGTTGAAAACTGGAAGTGATGCGTTCAGCGGTAAATTCACCCTTTTGCAGCAACCCAGTATCTGATGGCTTCATACTACTACCCCCATATTACAGAGGAGAAGTTGAGAATGAGACAGAACGGTTTGCTACTTAAGGCCTGGCAAATTAGATAATGCCTGTGTGACACTCAATAATAAGGACTTCTTGACTTACAGCTCTCATTTGAACCCTGGCCACTTCACTCTATGTCTAACCCTCTGCCCATTAGGCCACATTGTTTCAGTTTTAGAAACTTAATGTTTCCCAAGTCTTGTTCAAGTTAAGGAAAAGCGTCGTCACACTTGAGTGGGGAAAAGGCTGGCAGGAGTTGCTAATTAAATGGACAGAGAGAATTAATTATTTCTTTTTTTTTTTTAAAGAGTACAATCTAGTCTCCCATTTTCACTTCTAGTGGAACCTTCAATGAAGGCGTCTCCAAGTCTCCGGTGATGCCCAAGAGTGTTTAGATGGAGGGTCTAGATGGAGACACCTATTGAAATGTGTCTGAAGAAGATTAATAGGACTTGTCAGTGTTGGGAAAAGCGCTGCTTTGCGGTAAATTTCTACCAGGAGAAGATGAATTACCGATGAATGCCGAGTTATCAACCCCATCACTATCATTCGACACTAAATCAAATTGAGCGGTTATCTGCAATCAGAATTCCCCCCTCTCTACACACACACACACACACACAGGCAATGCACACCTTTCGACTTAAGCCCTTTAAATATAGAAACACATGGGGCAGAACAATTCTTTCTCTGCCTCGTGCGTGAAGTAAAGGGGAGCTTTTTTAAAATACAGAAGGGGTCCTTTCAAATATGGATACCCCAGGAAAGGGAAGAGAGAGAGAGAGAGAGAGAGAGAGAGAGAGAGAGAGGCCCCCACTCTCTACTGAAATGTATGTGTGTGTGTTTTCAGATGCATTCTGCATTGTGTAACTGGTCACATCTGCAGCATACCTTTAAAGCACATAACTTTCCCTTAAAGATGCCTGGGAACTGTAGTTTGTTAAGGATGCTGGGTACTGTATCTCTGTGAGGGGTCAACTACCATTCCCAGGATTCCCCTCACAGAGACACAGTACTTAGCATCCTTAACAAACTACAGTTCCCAGGCATCTTTGAGGGAAAAGTGTGTATGTGTGTGTATATAATATATATATTTATATTGCAGGGACGCGGGTGACGCTGTGGGTTAAACCACAAAGCCTAGGACTTGCTGATCAGAAGGTCGGCGGTCTGAATCCCCGTGACGGGGTGAGCTCCTGTTGCTCGGTCCCTGCTCCTGCCAACCTAGCAGTTTGAAAGCAGATCAAAGTGCAAGTAGATAAATAGGTACTGCTCTGGCAGGAAGGCAAACGGTGTTTCCGTGCGCTGCTCTGGTTCACCAGAAGCGGCTTAGTCATGCTGGCCACAGGACCTGGAAGCTGTACGCCAGCTCCCTTGACCAATAAAGCGAGATGAGTGGTCCTTGAGGTACCCTGGACCTAAGTTGTTCAGGGCTTTATAAATCCATACAAGAACCTGGAATCTGGCTCAGTAGAAGACAGGCAGTCAGTGCAGATGCTTTAACGATGGTGTGACATGCTGTTGACTAAACGTACCCATCGGCAATTTCACATCCACTTTCTGCACCAGCATGAGCTTCCAAACCAGACCCAAGTGCAGTCTCACATAGAGGGCATTGCACTAATCCAACATCGAGGTTACCAACATATGAACTACAGTGGTTAGGCTCTCCCTGAGTGAAGCATTTCAACCCTCTCCCTGTAGCTTGTACAGTGGTACCTCAGGTTACATATGCTTCAGGTTACATACTCCGCTAATCCAGAAATAGTGCTTCAGGTTAAGAACTTTGCTTCAGGTTGAGAACAGAAATCGTGCTCCGGTGGCGCAGCAGCAGCAGCAGAAGACCCCATTAGCTAAAGTGGTGCTTCAGGTTAAGAACAGTTTCAGGTTAAGAACGGACCTCCGGAACGATTTAAGTATTTAACCCGAGGTACCACTGTACCTGCAAATTTTTTGGGGATGGACATTCTGCTTTGTTTCCAATCGGTTCATGTCCCATAGCTCCCTGCTGAAATCCTGCAACTTTCCCTATCGCAAACATCCTTTCTCTGTTATTGTTTTTGCCCTGCTGTTGTGGTGCTACATAGCACAAGAGGGACCTTCCAGATGGCAATAGTGTGGTAACATTGGGAGCACCGCAGAACAAGTAAGGAAGTGGTATGATATCTGGACGGTCTGGTATAAATCCACCACAAATGCATGGATTTATCTATTGTTCACTATTGTATCAATAACACGTTGCAGAACACACCTGCAAAAAGACTCCAGTCTGAAGGGGTCGTCTGCCATGACATCTTATTCCAAAAGTAACTGTCTTTGCAAATTCTCCATCAACATCCACACACAGTTTCTGCCCATTTCAAAGAATAATATGTACTAAAGAGCGCCTTATTGTATCAGAAGGACGATCCATTTGGTTCAATATTGTTGAGGCTTTGTGAACACTGTATCCAGAAAACGCATTCAAAGCACATTCTTTCCCTCAAAGAATTCTGGGCCCTGCACTTTACCCCTCGCAGAGTTACAATGCCCATCAACCCTTAACAAAATACAACGTTCAGAATTCTCTGAGGGAAACAATGTGTTTCAAAAGTGCCTTAAAGTTATAGTGTGTACGCAAGCTTGAGCATGGAAGCATAAATGGCCAATAGGCATTGATAGACTTCTCCAGTGTCATGAATTTATGTCGGCTCCTTCTTAAAGTTACCTAAGCCAGTAGCCACGATCAAATCCCACAAGCTAATTGCATGTCGTGTGAAAAAGTACCTTCTTTTTCTCTGCCCTGAATCTACTGCCAGTTAATTTTGTCAGATGACCGCAAATTCTAGGGTAATGAGAGAGGGCAAATGAATTAATCTCTCTCTACAAATCCACAGTTGGTTTAAACTGCTGACAGTATAATACAGCATGATGGCTAAGATTTCATGGCCTCCCTTCTGATAATGCAGCACAGCTGGGCTAGGTAAACAAGTTTGAAAAGGCGCTACAGACATAACTAGGCATTGAAGAGGGTGTGCTCATATACCAGCCTATTAAGTAATTTAGGCTGCAATTCTGTACTCAGTTGCCTGGGAGCAAGTCCCATTGAACAAAGTGGGACTTACTTGTGATGAAACATGTGGTAGATTGCACTGCACATCCAGTTAGACAGGTCCTTGTCTCGAGGAGCTTACAATCTATAAAGCTTAACAATAATGGAAGGGAGGGAAAGGTAACACAGAAAGACCTCTGTCTGGAAGTCTAGAAAGCTGCTACCCTGTCAGTTTAGAACATTGGCAGCCGATGTGGTTGTTTAACTCCCATTAGCCCAGGCTTGTGGTCAGGAATAATGAAAACTGGAGACCCCTCAAATCTGAAGGGCACCAGCAGCCCACTGGCTACTCATGGTGTACAAAATGCCAAGCTAGATGGATCAGCCGTTTGAATTTGTATGTCAGTTTCGTACATTTGTGGACTGGATTTATTTAAGCCTCTTTTAAAGCTATCCTAGCTAGTGGATGGGTTCATATTGACGGAGAAAGATGGGATGCAAATGCTTTCAATAAACAAGCAAACAAATGAATAATGATTTGAGGGGGTGGGGGGAGAGGAGGAGAAGCAACCGGTACCTTTCTGAGTTGGCTGTTCCTGGCCTCGACATCTGGCCTCGACATTAGGTGTTGAGATAGGGGAGCCTGTCAATTTCTGTTTATCTCAGTTTCTCCTTTTCCTTATTTGCAATTCTTTTAGAATAAGTCTTAATGAAAATCAGCCAGCATTTTAGTGTGAATTTTTCCTAATATTCAGAGACTTGTATGCAATTCCCTCTAATATATACATCTTTCAGTGTGATTTTCTGTGTTTTAATGCATGGTGTGTGCTACTTCCAGTAATATATACATTTTAATGCACCCTTTCCCATAGTATATGCATTTTTGCCCCTGTTATTTAGATAGCGAACTGCATCACATCATTTGAAGAGGTGTGAATTTAAAAGGAGGGCTGTGTTTTGGTTTGCATATTGTTTTGGGACATGCAGCTTAGGTATATTTACTTTTATGTGCAAACTGTACCCACATTTCTCCTCTCCCCTAGTTAGGTGCATCAAGCAGGTTAACATTTGACCCTAGATTTTACTGGCTTAAATGTACTCAGCTGTTCCCTTGTCTGCTATTCTCTATTTCTGAATAGCCCAACCAAACTATGATGCACATCTGCCAGGTTCTACAGCTAGATCATCACTGATTTTTTTTTAATTTTTTGGTAAGGGATTCAATTCTTATAAATGACATTATGTTCCCTCAAAAGGGAAAAGTGATTTATTTCAAAAGCCAGGTTCTTTCAATAGGCCTTTGACAGTTAGGACCGAGAAGTGTACCCAAAAAGTGGAATAATGCACCATTCAGAATTTTAATAGCCTTCAAGAAGCTAGTTCAGGGACAGCACCAGAGAATTACGAAGCATGGGACCTGATCCATAAAGTCCATTTGGCGAGCATGATGTGCCAATCTGTATTTATTACAACCACCCTCTGATGCGTCTACAACACAAATGGCCAGATTTATATGCTCTAATGGTCCCACAATAAGAAAAACATGTGGTCTTTATCTCCCCTTTCTGCCCAAAAGAATCCCTCCACATACTTTCTGGGCATTGCCTTGTCTGGGTTTAATCACAGGGGAGCAAAAACGAGCATTATTAAAAAATAAACATATTTTCAGAAGCAATCAAAGGGTTGGAAGATTGATTCAGCATGGAGACAGGACATAATGGGAAGCAGGTTCTCTGTAATGAGGACTACTGGGATGCAAAGGCAGGCAGGCAAAGCCACCCATTTAAAACGTTACAGCAATTCTGCTCAGCAGTAGGTTGTTTGCTTGCTATCAGTTTCTGTTTAGCAGCAGGGGTGGGGGGAAACCTGGGTGGAATCTACACACGTATAAAAATGCTGTGAAAATGCTTTTTTAAAAAAGTTTTGAAAAAATATATTGAATTTGCCATAGCTCACCATCACCATCTAGGGTCACATTTGTGTATTGCACTTTACAACACCCTTAAAACATTTTATTTGCAGTTGTGTAGCTGAGTCCTGGGTGTGGAGAACCTCAGGCTCTGGAGCAAAATTTGGTCCTCAAGACTTCTCCATCGGGTCCTTAGGCCTTTTCTTAGGCCACATCCTCTCCCTAATCACACACCATTGCCAACCACACTTCTGCCTTGTACCCTCCTTGGGTGTTTTTGCTTGGCTGTGTTCTTAGACTCTGATGATGCCTCTTACTTGTCTGAATGGAAAATAGAATGTGTGTAGAAACCAGCTTATTTTTTCCATGTCACAAAATGTATATATTCCGCTTGATTGTATCAAAACCTCAAAGCAGTTTTTTAAAAAAGAATAAAACAATAAAATTATCAGTAAAGAACAGTTAAGCACAACTATTTAAAACATTCAAAAATGATTAAAATCACCAGTAAGCTAAAAATCAGGTTTAAAAGATAAGTCAACA